GGAGGCTGAGGCAGGAAGGTCCTTGTGAGTTTGAGACCAACCTGGGCTACAAAGTGAGCTCAAGGCCAGCCTGAACTGCATAGCGAGACTCTGTCTCAAAAAGACACACACACACACACACACAAAAGAGTAACTTTGCAAGGGAAAGGGCCTGTTCATGTAGAAGTAGAAATTATAGGGGCTGGGGATTTAGCTCAGTGGCACAGTGCCTGCCTGGCAAGTGCAAGGTCATGAGTTTGATTCCCGGTACTGGAAAAAAAAAAAAAAAAGAAGAAGAAATTACAGATTCAGTCATGTTGGCCTGAGCCTTCATGCCCTTGCCAGAGTGAAGCCTGCCCATGGCTCTTGCCCTTGTCTCTGCCCTGTCTGGAGGGGACATGGAGATGAGAGAGGCTTCTCCTAGATCCATGTGTATTTTTAAGAAGTCATATTTTTTAATTTGGACAAATTCCAGAATTTTGACTGTCAAGGTCAAATCTGATGCATTTAGAAAATAGTGTGATAAGCAGTATCTATCTGCAAGGGCCAAGCCTGGAGATTTATACCTGCACATCACCATAGAGCCAGGGAGCGGCTGTGGGCCCCAAGGCTTCCCTGTCTGATTCTGCCTGGCCGCTTCTCTGGCTTCCAGTTGCATCCCTGCTCAGCCACCTTCACAGCTCCAGTTAGCGGCTCAGTCTAAACTCATGCTCTGCATGTTCTTTTGCTTCTTGTGTCGGGAAAATGTCCTCTGTGGCAACATTTCCTGAGGCTGGGGCCAGAGACCACATTCTATGGCTATGTTTCCCTGAAAATGGCTTGGAAAGGAACACACAGTACAAAAACTAAAGTCATTAATAAGATGATGTGTTGTTTTTGCAGTTAAAACTTAACCACAACAATAAAGCCTATTGGTTGTGGTTTTTTTTTTTTTTTTTTTTTTTTTTTTTTTTTTGAGACAGGGTCTCGCTATGCAGTTCAGGCTGGCCTTGAGCTCACTTTGTAGTCCAGGCTGGTCTAGAACTTGCAATGATCCTCCTGCCTCAGCCTCCCGAGTGCTGAGATTGCAGGCATGTGCCACCATGCCCGGCTAAGCCTATTGGTTTAGATACATGGTTGGATATATTTGGCCATCCCAAAGTCAATGAGGAGATGACTTCTGCTCTTTTCCATACAGCCCTGCTGAGTCTGCTCAGTGCTGTTCTTTAACTCTCAGTGTGCCTATAATCCCAGCACTTTGGAGGCTGAGGCAAGAGGATTGCTGAGAGTTCAAGGCAAGCCTGAGTTACAAAGTGAGTTCATGGCCAATTTACACATAGTGAGACTCTGTCTCAAAAACATAAAACAAACAAACAAACAAACAAAAAAAAAACCAAGTAAACCCTCAGTGGAAGAAAGCTTTAGCACCTACTCTAGAAAACTAATTTTGAGGAAGTGAGAATTTGGCTCTAGCCAAGATGCTAAGTAACTGAATAAGTGGTGCTTCAACACGTCTATCCCTCTGCCCTCCCTTCCTCCACTAAACCTCCAGCACGTTGATTCTTCTGGTGGTGGATTTTTCATGATTCTTTGCTATTTCTTTGTTTTTGTTCCTTGCTATTTTTAAGAAAATAGAGATCATTTTCATGATCTCTAACTACAATCCTGGGGCAGGGGATTTAGCTCAGTGGCATAAGCGCCTGCCTGGCAAGCGCAAGGTCATGAGTTCGATCTCCGGTACTGAAAAAAAAAAAAAAAAACAAACAAAAAAACCCTACAATCCTTCTGTAGCTGATATTCAGTCCCCTCATTGGATCATTCTGCTGGGTGTATTTTCAATGGAATTTTTTTCAGTGGAATTTTTAATTTCCTGGATAGAGGGCTGTGGATTTAGCTCAGCGGCACAGCGCCTGCCTGGCAAGCGCAAGGTCATGAGTTCGATTCCCGGTACTGGAAGAAAAACAAAAACAAAAACAAAAAAAACCTCCTGGATATCTGTTTGAATCTGTCTCATGGAGCCCATCTCTTTCCTGTGTTGGGAGAGCATGCTCCTAAGATCCTCTATCTGCTCTAGAGTTACTATTTTTTTCACTATGGTCACCATCTCTATAGTTATCTGAGAAATTATTTCTAATTTAATTTGTTATAGAGCCTCATTCATCTGCTTTGTTTCAACTGTTGTTACCACTTCAGAGTCCAAGCTGGGTAGCTCTCAAATTGTTGCATCTCATTGCCCCCTTGGTTTGCCTTTAGTGAGCAGGGAGTCTAAAGTTGTATCTTGTTTAAGTATCTTCTCATTTTCTATTTTTTTTTTAAACTTTAATTCCTGGGTTGATGCTTGTAAATTGCCTGTGGTGAGGAGCTTTATTGCTAGTATTGAGAACCCTTAGGAAATGACTATTTCTCAGAGGTGTCTTCCAGGTGTAGCTGGCTTTTAGGTTTTGAGTCTGTTGCAAGATCCTACCTCTTCAGGTTATTGGGGATGGGAAATTGCTGCCTACTTGGCCCAGCCTCTGGTTCTTTGGCACTGGCCTATAGTATTGTTTATGACCCTTGGGCAATCTCAGTCTTGGTATACCAGGAGGAACAACCGATTAGAACACTTATGTCACCTTGGGTAAAGTAGTATAATCAGCAAGAACAATAGCATCAAACACAGCCTAGAAAATGACAAACTGTGGTAACTATTAATTTGCTACCTTTAACTGTATGAACTATATTTCTGGTTATATAACAAAATCTAAAATGAACCAGAAAATTGTGTACAGTAAGTATGCCCTCAATATGGCAATTTTACCCCTAGGGGAGAAAATGTAGAAGAGGTTAGGGGGAGAAACAGAATCTTATTGATTAATCCCAGTAGGCCAGCCACAGATTTATGTTTTTTTGTTTTTTTTCCGGTACCAGGAATCGAACTCATGACCTTGTATTTGCCAGGCAGGCGCTGTGCTGCTGAGCTAAATCCCCAGCCCCCTAGCCATAGATTTATGAAAGGGTAGTAGATAATCCCAGCAAGCCTTCACCTTTAGTTCCCCTGAAGTCCAAGATGGTTTCTGGCTGTGAAGCTGGAATCTGATTTGTTCAGCCTGCAGCCCTCCATGTGCCTCCTGCCAGTCTGAACTCAGCTCCTTGACCTCCTGCTGACTTGAACTCAGTTCCCCCTCATCCTGACAGCCAGACGACAGCTGCTCTGAGTTCAGAGCTCAGTGGGCCCCTCACCAAGATGGCTACCGGCCAGTCACCCTCTCCTGGGTGGGAGTGTGCCTGAACCTGAATGACTCACTGGCCACTGCAGTTCCCTGCATCCCCTGCTCCATTCCTCTGGTGCGTTTCAGGCCTCTGGGGTCACCAGTCGTCACTTTGCATCTGGTTTTTTCAGATCACAGGTTCAAGCTGCCCCTCCCGCATAGTGAGGCAGGGCTCAGGGAAAAAGCACCACTTGACTCCTCCTTCTTTTACATTGAGGTCTCTCTTCACTCTCCCCATGGGCTTCACTTTTTGCTTCAGATCCTTCCTGGGTCCTTCTTTCCTTCTCTTGCTCACATTGTTATATTCGATTGTCTGGACACCAAGTCCCAGAGAGGCTGTTTCCCTGCTGATGACTACTCTGCTATCTTCCTGGAAGTCTGTAACAGAGGTGGATGAGGTTGGCAGGCACTCAGGTGTCCCAGGAAACCGGGCAGTGTGACTCTAGGCTCCAGGCCTGAACCCAAGTTTTATGGGGCTTAACGCTTACACAATTTTTGGAGACCCTTAAAAATGAAATGAGTGGGTTGAGGGCAAATAGGAAGTAGTGTTTAATGGGACAGAATTTCAGTTTGGGAAAATAAAAAGGTTCTGGGGTAAAAGGGGCCCTAGACATGATGGCAGTGACAGTTACATGTACAAGTATACTCAATGCCGCTGTGCTTTCCACTAAAATATGGCGAAAATGCATGTTTTATATTTTAGCAATGAAAAAGATGCCTGAAGTTTATAAATAAATAAATGAGTAAAAGTATGATTCAAAATTACTAGAGGCCTTTTGCAAAGGCCCATGTGAATAAGGGGTCTGAACCTTAAGTTTTAGTATCTTTGCAGTAAATCTGTCCCATTAAAATCTCTGTTACTATTTTAAAAGACCATTTTAGGGCTGCAAATGTAATTCTGGTAGAGCGCTTGCCTAGCATGCACAGAGCCTCAACACCATACAAAAAAGTAAATATCTTTTAATTATTCAAGCAGTATTTAACATTCTTTAGGACAGTAGAAAATACAGACAAGATTAATTTCCAGGGCATGTTATAATTTCTTCAGCTAACTAAAAGTACTGCCACAGTGGGCTTAGCCAAATCAGTATCCAATCCAGGGGCACATTCCCTTAATGCAGTAGCAGTTCCTTTCCTAGAATACTTATGAATGAAAGCCACAGAGTGAGTCTCTGACAGAACAGCTGCTCTTCTGGATTTGTCTGGTTGCTCTCTTGTGGTCCTATTTAGCTTGGTTCTATAGCCAATAATTTCCTATGAAATAAGAACTTTTGTATTCAAGATAATTTATTGATTGATTGATTGATTGATTGATTGTCTTTTTGAGACAGGGTCTCACTATGCAGTTCAGGCTGGCCTTGAGCTCACTTTGTAGCCCAGGCTGGTCTCGAACTCTCAACAATCCTCCTGCCTCAGCCTCCCGAGTGCTCGGATTACAGGTGTGCTCCACCACGCCCGGCAAGATAAATTTTAAAAATGGAAATAGTGGATATTTCTTAGTAAAAAGCTACCGTGGGATCTATGTACAATATTACTCTCTTGTTCCTTTTTTTTTTTTTTTTTTTTTTTTGTCTTTTTGAGACAGGGTTTCGCTATGCAGTTCAGGCTGGCCTTGAGCTCACTTTGTAGCCCAGGCTGGCCTCGCACTCATGACGATCCTCCTGCCTCAGCCTCCTGAGTGCTGGGATTATAGGCGTGCTCCACCACGCCTGGCCCACTCTCTTCTTCCAAGGAATGTAGAGAAGAAAATACATACAATGGCTGCATTTCACAAGAGTAATGATTCCAAGAAAGAAAAGAAAATATTTAACAAGAATCTTGTATGTACTTTTAAGGAAATTAAGTACAATATGAACTCTATGAAACAAAAAAGTTAGAGGTCCCAAAATAAGACGAAAAGAGTACTGGAAGAGGTAAAGATGGAAACCCCAGGAAATTCTGGAGGTCATATTAGAAGTCACAGGAAACGAAGCTGACATGACGGACACCTGAGCCAGGGACACGCAGGACAGGCTGAGAATGCCCGAAGCACCACGGAGCTGGGCGAGGAGAGCAGGGTCTGGAGAGAGATGTTAGGGGGCTGAGACTTCATGTTGTGCTGATGCAGAGTCCTTGATGAAGAGGGACTGAACGCAATTGCAAAATAAGTCAAAAACCTAAGAGAAAATAGCCATTTCTGAAACAGACAAACAAAAAAAGACTACATCTGGCAAAAGAACAGGATTTACCGTGTTCCATGTAAACTCAGGATGGCTGTGGACGCGTCACCTTGCTTGGCTTGAGAGCTGCCGAGGGGATCAGCAAAGCGCACCTCTGCCTGTGTCTGGGGGTCACGGAGGCGAGACCTTGGGGGCTGTATCTGGTCCTGGCCGCTCCTGCTCTGGCACTGCTCCCCTGCTCTGCTTCCAGGAGCCACAGGCTGAGCAGCTTTGCTCCACCATGACGCTTATGCATTGAAGCCAGCTGAAAATGAACAGAACCCTCTGAAACCGTCAGCCAAGTTAAACCTCTGCTCCTTTAAATTGCGGGGGTGCTGTGTCCCAGAGATGAGGAAGCTGACGAGACTCTGATGAGTGAAGGCCCCATTGTGACCTCAGTAGCTCTTCAGAACTTCTTAAGTCTTTGAGATAAAGAGAAAAAAGCATCCCACTATAAACATCCAAGTCAAACTCGGTAGGCTGAGGCAGGAGGATCGTTGCCAGTTTGAGACTTGCCTAGGCTACAAAGTGAGCTTAAGGCCAGCCTGAATTACATAGTGAGACCCTGTTTCAAAAAGCCCCCCCCCAAAAAAAATCCAAGTCAAAAAAGCAGATAATTTACTAAGAAATAAGATGATACTGTCCTCAGATTTCTCAGCAATTTTATTTATTTATTTATTTATTTATTTATTTATTTATTTATTTATTTTCAGACAGGGTCTTGCTATGCAGTTCAGACTGGCTTTGAGCTCATTTTGTAGCCCAGGTTGGTCTCAAACTCGCAATGATCCTCCTGCCTCAGCCTCCCGAGTGCTGGGATTATAGGCGTGCACCACCACGCCTGGCTCTCAGCAATTTTAGATGGCATAAAACAAGGAATAATGTAGAAAGAAGGTTAAAGAATAAAGGATGAGACCGTATCGTTCCATAAATGGCTCAAAATTCATTTAATGTAAAAGTAGTAGCTGGGTGTGGTGACACATGCCTGTAGTCCCGGCACTTGGCAGGAGGATTGTCGCAAGGTCAAGGCCAGCCTGAACTACATAGCAATATCTTGTCTACCAAAACACTGAGCACACTAAAGTAAATCCAGGGATGGGAAGTAACTCGGCAGCACAAGAGCCTGCCTGGCAAGTGCAAGGTCCTGAGTTCGATTCTCAGTACCAAGAAAAAAAAATAGATCTAAAGTAAATCCACAAATTGCTTTAAAAAATACTTGGACCACTAGCTAACAATTTAATTAAAAATTGTGAAAATAACAATATGCACTATAATAGTCATTCTTAATTTCCTACTGTCTTGTTTTGAAATTCTGTTTTGTTTTTGGTATGGGGAATCAAACTCAGGACCTTGTGCTTGCCAGGCAGGTGCTTGTGCCCCCAAGCTATTTCCCCGGCTTCTTTTAAAATTGTGTAACATTGTTTTTATTGTTTTTTTTTTCTCTTTAAAATAAAAAAGTAGACATAAGATATAAAATTTAAAGTAAAAATAAACATATGTATAAATAAAAGAAAAACACAGGTTTCAGGGTAAAGGTAGTGTACGAAATTATGTTATTTAGGATATAGTAGAAGATCCCAGAACATAATGATTACAAAACAGAATTTTGATTTTTCTCTTACATAGTGGTTCAAAGGTAGGTGGTTGTTACAGTATCTCTGCCAGTCTCAACATGTGGCTTTCATCTCTAAAGTCCAAGGTGGCAGCTCCAGCTCCTGCCGTTACATTTGTACCCTGGCCAATGAGGAAAGAGGAAGAGAAAGGGAACACACACTCATTCCTTTCGAGGGCAATGACCTGTGAATGGCATAATCACTTCTGCTCACATCCCATTAGACCAAACTCAGATACATGGCCATGCCCAGGTACAATGGAAGCTGGGAAATACAGTTTTTAGTGAGGAGGCCACAAACTCATCTAGCACTGAATTTTAATTTTTTTTTTTTTCTGGGGGCTGGGTGTGGTGGCGCACGCCTGCAATCCCAGCACTCGGGAGGCTGAGGCAGGAGGATCATTGTGAGTTCGAGACCAACCTGGGCTACAAAGTGCACTCAAGGCCAGCCTGAACTGCATAGCAAGACCCTGTCTCAAAAAGACAAAAAAAGAAAAGAAAAGAAAAAAGAAAAAATTTCTGGAGTTTGAAGGGAGGGTAGGGGAATGGGAAAAATTGTTTTTATTTCTTCATATTTTTTACAGTACTATAGTTTGAACCTAGGATTTTCACACTGAGCTATATTCCTAGCTTTAAAAATTTTTTTCTTAAATTCTGAGACAGGGTCTCTCTAAGTTGCTAAATTGCCCAGGCTGGGATCAAACTTGTAATCCTCTTGCCTTAGTTTTTCAGATTTATTATTTAGGGATCTCTGTTAATAATTAGTGTCTCTAGGGGGCAAGGGTTATGGCTCAGTGGCACAGTGCCTGCCTGGCAAATGCAAGGTCGCAAACTCCTTTCCGAGTACAAAAAAAAAAAAAAAAATTAGTGCCTCTAACTGGGTGTGGTGGTGCACTTCTATAATCCCAGCCCTCCAGAGGCTGAGGCAGGAGAATCCCTACAAGTTTGAGGCCAGCCTAGTTTACATAGCTCAAGACCAGCCTGAACTAATAGTGAGACCCTGCCTATGGTCTCAAAAAAAAAAATTAGTCTCTACAAAGAAGCTACGTCTCAGACTATTCTTCTTGACATACACAGTAAGTACACAGTTATTTTTTTAAATAGCAAAATACTAATAAGTGGCACTCTAACAATGAAGGAGGTTAAGTCAGTTGGCCCAAAGGAAGTGATAACATAAAATCTGGGTATGGTCTGCTAATAGAGAAGGAAGACTAGGTAACATAGTTGTGTACATATTCTTGAAAATTACCGGCCCCACCCCACCCATCTGGGGAGAGGAAGTGCCAGGAAGAAAATGATCAGCTCTGGGAAACACCAGAGAAAGCTCCAAGAGCAGAAACCCTTATGGAACCAGATGGGTCTCAGCAGAGGCAAGAAAGCTATTTTTCAGGCTTTCTAGGTTGCCAGACTACCCATGAGAGTAGGGTATTCTCCCAATGAGAGAAGCGAGTGTTTACAATTTTCAGGAGAGGATTCAGCCTCAAGAAAGGAAGAAATCCTACCCCCAGTGACGTGCGTGGACCTCGTAGGTCCTGTTAGGTGAAACAAGCCAGATGCAGACAGACAAATGCCATAGGATCTCACTGTATGTAGAATCAAAAGCACAGAATAGAATGGTGGGTGCCAGGGTTGGGGGTAGGAAGAAGTGGGGAGATGATAGTCAGGGAAGAAAGCTTCAGTTACGCGTGACATATAAGTTCTGAGGGTCCAGTATACAGTTAGGGCCCAGAGCTCACAATACTGAGTCACATGAAAGGGTCATTCTTGTTTTAAATGCTCTTGCCACATGTGAGGCGATAGGGATGAGGATGAGGATGGGGACGACGGGGGCAGGAGGAGACTGGAGGTGAAGGATATGTCTATGGCCTGGACGGCATGATGATTTCACAGGATCTATCTCCCAGCTCACCAAATGCATACATTGAACACATGCATCTTTTCACATGCCAGTCGCACTTCAGTAAGGTGGTTTCCAAAAGAAACTTTTAGAGGCCAGGGATATAGCTCAGTGGCACAAGCAACTGCCTGGCAAGCACAAGGTCTTGAGTTTGATTCCCGGTACCCCCCCAAAAAAACTTTTAGCCAGGTATGGTACTGCACACTTGTGATCCCAGCACTTGGGAGGCTGAGGCAGGGGGATCAACATGAGTTCAAGGCCAGCCTGCACTACAAAGCGAGATTCTGTCTCAAAAAACAAAAAACAAAAAATAAAAAACAACCAGGGATGTAGCTCAGCAGCACAGTGCCTGCCTGGCAAGAGCAAGGCCCTGGGTTTGATTCTCAGTACCAAAAAAACAAAAAAAACAAACAAAAAAACCCCACCCAAACACAAAATTTTTAAAAATCTACTGTAGCTGAGCATGGTGGCACACTCCTGTAATCCCAGCACTCAGGAGGCTGAGGCAGGAGAATCGTTGTGAGTTTGAGGCCAGCCTGGGCTACAAAGT